GAGCCGCCCTGAACGCCACGAGCGCGCCGCGAGCGCCGTAGCGCCGGCGAGCGCCGTCGGCAGCGCGCGACCGCCACCCAAAAGCGGAGGTACATCAGGAGCCGCAGCCGGCCTGCTCTATCAGCCCCGCAGCCGCGGTGGCGCGACCGGACCGCGGTCGCTCCAGGCGCCTTTTGGCCCCGGTTCGAATCGCGGTTGGCGCGCGCCCTCGCGGAGCGACGCGTGGCGCGCGACGCGCGCGCGTGCGCGCCCAGCCGAGCCCTAGGCCGTATGCCGTCTGCCGTCTGCCGTCGGCCGTCTGCCGTCGGCCGTCGGCCGTCGGCCGTCGGCCGTCGGCCGTCGCACCCAGCAGGCCGGAATCGGTACGACTGGGTTTCTTTTTCTCTGTGCCACTTCTCCACGGCAGTCATACACACGTGTGTGTATGTTGCCGCTGGCACCTCTCCTCTGCGCAGCCTCGCTCGTCAAATCGCCGCTCCAGCGCGCGCTCTCGGCGCCTCGAGCCGTGCTGGTCGACATCGCGCAGGACCCGCGGCTCGCGCCGCCCAGCGCGTTCGACTTGGAGGAGCTCTCTACGCGCTGCCGTGACGCGGGTGCCGCTGCGCTCGTGGTGCCCTCGGATCTGCTTGCTGCCTTCGCCGCGGAGCAGGCCACGGCGGCGAGCTCGTACCCTGGCCCGCTGCCGCTCATCTGCCAGCTCCAGCCCTCTGTGGGTGGCGGCGGCAGCGAGGCGGCCGGCGAGGCGCCGCAGCCGCTTGCCGAGCCTTCGTCGCTCAAGCTTGGCGAGCTGCGCGCGCTCGGCGCGGAGGGCGTGATGGTGCGGAGCTCCGCCTTGGAGGGCGGGGCGGCGCTCGCCGACCTCGTCTCTGCAGCCGAGGCGGAGGCGCTCCGCGTTGTGGTGCTGGCGGGCCGCGCAGGCGAGGCGGACGCGGTGGCCGGCGCGGGCGCCGTGGCGGTGGTGTGCGAGGGCGACGCGTGCGAGGAGGGCGCCCCCGCCGCCTCCGCCGCCTCTGCCGCCTCCCCTCCGCCGGCCCGCTTCGGGTCCTGGTGGAGCGGCGACGCGGAGAGCCTCGCGGCGCTGCGCGAGGCCGGGCTGGAGCGGGTCTACCTTGAGGACGCGTGCGACGGCGACCTGGTGCAGGGGGCCGGGCGCTGCTGCGCGCTCATCGCCGCGGCGCGCAGCAAGCAGAGCCGCCAGTGGAGCGGCAGCATGTTTGGCGTGAGCGGCGACGCGCCGCCCGAGCGGAGGAACCCGCTCGCGTGGGCGCAGTCCAAGCGGCAGGCGAGGGAAATCATGCACGACAGCGCGAGCAGCCGCGGCCTGCCGCCGCCCAAGCTGCGCAAGTGAGGCGGGGAGGGTGTCCGGCTTGCCTGCGCACACTTCATCGGTCCTGCGCACCATGGCGACTGTAGGAGCATTAGATGGAGTTTGTCTCCGCACTCCTGCGTGTGTGCGTGTTATTGTGCGTGTGTGAAACTGAGTGTCTTCGCGCGCTCCAAACTAATATTTAATAAACTGGCCATCGCGTCGGCGAGGGTCACACACAGAAGAGAAATCTCTCCTCAGGACTATGGACTAATAATGTGTGCTTCACAGTCTCCACACCGTGAGGGCAGCGGAGAGCCTCCCCTTTGCGTTTTGTTTTTTGTGTGTTGTCTGACCCCGGCGCGTGAGCCCGCGTGTGAAAGTGCGTGTGACGACTGACGAGGGGCGGGCGAAGTCGGCAGAGGGAGCAGCTGCCATCCTCGCGCGCACTGGGCGCGGGCGCGGGGGTGGAAGAGGTGCTCAACTGCTGGCAGGAGGAGCGGGGAAGGATGGCGTAAGTGAGAGAGATTTGTTTGTCGTAAGTGAGGTGGAGATGACGGAGGCGCTCGCCGCACGTGCGTGCACGGGGATTGAGTCGGCTTTGAAGCTTTGTTGTCTTGGATTTTTTGTGTGGGATTGGACTTTGGATTATGGTCGCCTTTGCAAAGTGATCTCCCCGTTTCCTTCGAAAAGAGCCGCCGTTCACGGCAGGCGATGAGGCGAACGAACGCCGAAGGAGAGCTCTCGTTTGGACAGAAATGCATTGTCTCAGGGCCGACGCGCAGTTATCCTGCCTGCCAGGAAGCTTCGACAACACCCAGGACCAGGCGGCACGCCGGGCACACGCCCGCGCGCTTGCCCTCGCTGCGCAGGCCCGCTTCCTTGTCGAATCGAACAACACCGCCGAGAGGTGCGGCATCACAGCCCTCTCTGTGGTGCGTGCTGGCAGCATCAGTGGTGTGCTCGACAAGCGGGACTCCCGCTCTCTCAAGACCTGGGAGTGGAAGCGGAGGTTCTTTGTCGTGGCAAAAACTGCCACGGGAGGCGTCCTGTTCTACTTCAAGCACGAGCAGAGCACAGAGCCGGCGGAGGCCGTCGAACTCTCGGGCAAGACGGGCGCGGCGCGGGTGTCGGTGGAGCCGTCCGACGATGGCGGGCCGCAGGCGCTCAGACTCGAGCTCTCGAACGAGCGGACGCTGCTGCTGCGCGGCGGCGGCGGCGGCGGCCCCGGCTGGAGTGTCGCTGCGATGCAGCGGTGGGTGGACGCGCTGCTCGGAGCAGGGGCCGAGGCGGAGTCGAGAGGGCCGCTGCCTCACAGCCTGCCCGGCGCGATGCCCTCCCCCTCCCAGTCTTCCGCCGCGAGGAGCCCCGACCGCACCTCCCAGCCCGCCCACTCGCAAGCCACGTCGCAGCCAGCCTCGTCGCGGCCATGCTCACGGCCGAGCCGCCGCCTGAGCGGCGAGGACGCGGCGACGGCGTGCGGCATCACGCAGGACTTCCTCGCCCTCTCGCCCTTCGCGCCCGGCCAGCCCCGGCCGGGAGGCACCCTGACGCTGCACGTGGCTGGAGGCGCGGGCGGAGGCGCGAGCGAGCTGGCGGCGCGACGGCGCGCGAGATGCAGCCGAGATGCAGCCGAGATGCAGCCGAGATGCAGCCGAGATGCAGCCGAGATGCGGCCGAGATGCTGGCGCGAGATGCGGACGCGAGGCATCTCGGCTAGATCTCGGCTCTGTCGCGGCTGCCCAGGCTCGACCTCACGTCGCTCGACCAGCTGCTGCCCGGGGTGCGCTACCAGACGGAGAGCGGCAACGACCTCGTGCTGACAGACGAGGGAGCCGTCGTCCTCGCCGGGCATGTGGTCATCGGTGAGGCCCCAGCACCGGCGGCAGCGACGGCGAAGGAGGCGGCGTCTGGCCGTCGAGTGGGCGGCTCGTCGTGCGACGACGACTCGGCAGGGGCGAAGGCCGCCGCTGAGAGGCCGGCAGGGCAGGCGGGCCGCGGGCGAGTTGCAGAGGCGCGCGCCGCCCTGAGCGCCGAGGGGGGCGACGACAAGTGCGACGACCCCAAGCGAGGAGGCGACGACCTCTCCGCGGAGGAGGTGCGCGGCAGTAGTCGGAGAGAGCGTAAGGGCTCTGCGAGAGGCCGGGCACCACACAGGCCAGCCCTGCGCTCTGCAGATCTCGAGGATCCCTCGTCGTAGGTAGCGGCAGCGGAGGCGCGCCGGCGCCGCCTTGCCAGCGTGCTCGCCGCTTCCAGGGGCGGCTAGAAGGCGCCGCGCGCGCAAGACGTGAGACGCACACGCCAGGGCCGATCGAGCGGGAGACACGGAGAGCGTGCTGCACATATAATCAAAACACAAAATCATAAATGATAAAAAGACAAAAATCTCAAATCGATTTGTCAAATGTGGTCAAAATTTTCAGAGCTTACCTGGGAGTGTGGGAGCTGGGACTCCTGTCGCCTGTGTCCTGACGAGTGACGTGAGACTGTGTTTTCTTTCCCCCAATTCCCGTCACCACTACTGTGATGACGTGAGTGACGTGCGTGTCGTGCACGTGCGACTGCGAGGATTAAGCCGTAGCGCATACACACGGCTTTATTACATTTATTATTATTTATAACACACATTCTTTTCGGACACGACTGATTAACATTATTCTTTTATTGCGCCGGGGCGCCTACCGCCTAGTCCAGGAGACCAGTCCCAATCGACCGTTTGACCGAGTCGGCTTCTGCCGGCTTGAGCTGCCCACGAAAGGAGCGGCGGCCGTGCGCGGACCACCCCGCCCTCGCCGTGGCTAGCTGGTGTGCATACTGCAGATCGCCGAGGGAGCGGCGGCGATTTGCTGCCAAATCCGCCAGCACCTGCGCCACCATCTCGGCCTCCGCCTCCGCCTCCGCCTCCGCCTCCGCCTCCGCCTCCGTCCTGGCTCTAAACCTCGGCGCCGCGGCATCGCCATCGGCATCGTCATCGGCAGCAAAAGAGTGCCTGGGGCTGGGCGAGAACGTGTCGAAGGGGTCGTCGTCCTCCCGCCGCTGCCCCTCGCCCTCCTCCTCCTCGGTGGTGGGTGGCTTCGGCGAGGCAGGTTGCAACTCAGCGGGCTCATCTGCCATCCGGTCCCACCTGGACGCGTGGCGGTCCCGCGCCCAGCCGCCGTGCTCCCGGGCGGCGGCGAGGCGGCGGCGGCGGCGGCGGAGCGCCCACCCCAACGTGCACGTGAACCTGCGGGGAGGAGAGCACAAGGGTAGATGGAGGGGCGGGGAAGGGGTATCGCACTACTCGAGCGCGCGCGGCGCACCAGCACACGAGGCCGAGCGCGGCGATGGTGGCCACGCCAACGCCCACAGCGCCACTGACGCACTCGGCGTCCAGGCCGGCGATGGAGCAGCTAAACTCCCGTAGCACGGCTGCAACGTGCGGCGGCGACGCTGGAGGAGAGAATGGCGGCGACGGCGGCGACGGCGTGGGCAGCGAGGGCGGCGGCGGTGGTGGCAGCGGTGGCGGCCGGGAGGGCGGCGGAGGAGCAGGCGGCGAGGGCGGCGGAGGAGGAGGCGGCGGGAGAGGAGGCGGAGGCGGCGGGAGAGGAGGCGAGGGCGGCGGGGGAGGAGGCGAGGGCGGTGGAGGCGGAGGCGGCGAGGGCGGCGGGAGAGGAGGCGAGGGCGGCGGAGGAGGAGGCGGCGAGGGCGGTGGCGACGTAGGCGGCGAGGGCGGCGGGGGAGGAGGCGAGGGCGGTGGAGGCAGAGGCGGCGAGGGAGGCGAACTGGGTGGTAAGGGCGGAAGGGGCGGTGTCGGCGGCGGCGGGAGCGGTGCTGGCGGCGGCGGGGAAGGCGGCGGAGTTGGCGGTGGAGGTTGGGCCGGCAAGGGTGGCGGTAGCGGAGGCTGGGGCGGTGGGATTGGTGGAGGCGATGACGGCGGTGGCGGCGAGGGCGGTGGCGATGGAGGCGACGACGGCGACGACGGCGGGGGCGGCGGCGGTGGAGGCGTCGAGGGTGGTGGCGGCGGTGGCGGTAGCGGAGGCTGGGGCGGTGGGATTGGTGGAGGCGATGACGGCGGGGACGGCGGGGGCGGCGGCGGTGGAGGCGTCGAGGGTGATGGCGGCGGTGGCGGTAGCGGAGGCTGGGGCGGTGGGATTGGTGGAGGCGATGACGGCGGGGACGGCGGGGACGGCGGCGGTGGAGGCGTCGAGGGTGATGGCGGCGGTGGCGGCAGCGGAGGGGGCAGTGGCTTTGGTGAAGGCGGCGGTGGTGGTGGAGGCGGCGGAGGTGGTTTTGGCGGCGGAGGTGATTTCGGTGATGGAGGTGATTTCGGTGACGGAGGTGCAGGAGGCGGCGGCAGCGCGGGAGGAAGTGGCGGTTGCGACGGCGGAGGTGGTGGAGGCGGCGGAGGTGATTTCGGTGACGGAGGTGGAGGAGGCGGCGGCAGCGCGGGAGGAAGTGGCGGTTGCGACGGCGGAGGCGGGGGCGGCGGGTTTGGTGGGTCGATGAAGAAGAACGTGAAAACGTCGAAGGGTGGCTGGGGCGGGGGCGGTGGCGGGGCCTGGGGCGGCTTCGGCGCTGGAGGGGGCGGGAGCGCCGGCGGCGACGGTGGTGACGGCGGCGACGGTGGCGCCGGTGGTGGGGGCGGCGACGGTGGCGACGGCGGCGACGGTGGCGACGGTGGCGACGGTGGTGGGGGCGGCGACGGTGGTGACGGCGGCGACGGTGGCGACGGTGGTGGGGGCGAGAGCGGGGGCAGCTTCGGCCGTGGAGGGGGCGAGAGCGGCGGCGGCGACGGTGGCGACGGAGGCGGACGGGGCACGCTGGAGCAGAAGCTGCAAGTGAAGTCGCACGTTCCCGGGAGCGTGCACGCAGGGCAAAAGAGGGTGGAGCACGCGGGGATGTGGGCCTCACAGTACGCTCTGCCCGCTATTTCGGTGCAGAGCACCACCATGTGGTCACTGGTCACTTCGAACGCCGAAGAAAAGAAATTCGGCGCCAGAGCACCGCTCGCAAGGGACCATTGGGTTTGTACTATTAACAACGAAGGCGCTCTCAAAAGAAATTTCGTCCCAGAATTTGCATGAGCGCCTCCCGAAAGCTGCCGAACACGTGGGAGGCGATAGACGCGGAGATGTACGCGATGCTCGCATACTTACGCAAAATGGCGAGCGCGAGCGACGCACAGACGCGACGGTGCTTAGTGCTATGCGACTGCAAACTTGCCTGCAGCAGATTGAGAATGCGCACCGCAAAGAGATGACAAAAAACAAAAAAAGGGATGCCAGAAGGTCTGAGGGACTGGGAGAGAGGCGGTCTCCTAGAGGCGATTGCTCACTATAGATCGAAGCTAGAGGCGGTGGTCTTCATGTGGGTGCCAGCACACGTGGGAATAGCCTGCAACGCATACGCCGACGCAGTGGCGACAGCATACCTCGGAAAGGACGTCACGGAGGACGCCTCGAAGGTGGTTCGGGACGCGGTGCGAACTAGACCATGCATGTACACAGTGAGAAGGGAGGCGGCAGAGGACCCGGAGAAGAGGGAGATGGTGGACCGACGGACATACGGGCACATGCGCCAGAGCGCACACGAGTGGGTGTGCGAACAACTTCGAAAGACGGTGAGGCCGGGATCGCACACGGCAGGGATGGCGGGACGGCTGTGGAGCGAAGTGGCCGTAGCCAGCCTCAAACACTCATGGGACAATAAGATGAGATTGCCAGATGAGAATGGGGGGAAGCACAGACGAGCGACATTTGACGACATCGGAGGTCACAATGTGACGACCAAAACGATCTTGGGAGCCAGGGTGAGACAACAGGTAGGGGTGCCACACGGTGCACACCACAGGCGCATTCTGGAGGGGGAAAAGAAACGGAGAATGAGGGGCCCCGCCACGAGTCAGAAGTGCGTTCTGGGGATGCAGAGCGTGCAAGGCGGCTAGGGATGCGGCGGCAAAAGAGGCAAGGAGGAGAATCGGGGAACGGAGAGACTGGGACGACTGGACACAAGAAGACAGTGAGCCGCCACAGGCGTCGTTGGCGCACGTGCTGAGTGGCAGCTGCGCTGGAAATAAGGAAGAGGCGCGTCACTTCATGCGGAAGCTCGACAAACACACAGCGAGGGCGACAGCAAGAGTCGAACAGGAGGCGCCTGAATCAAAAGACACGGCGACATCCTTGAGACGCGCGAGAGCAACCTCCTTAAAGGCAATGGGGTCTAGATTTGGAGCGCTCGCCGAAGAGGAGTACGACAAAATAGCGCCCGTGATTGCCTGCACGCTGCCAGCACTGACAGACTCCATACCCGAAAGAAAGAGAGGGGAGCTTGCAGGAGAGGTGACGAGGGAACTACAGGTAGTGGGGAAGGCAGCTTCGATTGCCATACAGACATGGGTGCGAAACAACGACAAGACCAAGGCACGGGCAGAGGAGCGAGAGAAGGAGCCTGTCGAGGACTGGGGCTCCACTCGAGGTCATGTTCATAGATTCCAAAGCATTGTTAATAGCAAAGGGGGGAAAAGGTACCCTCGACCCTCACGCCTGCAACCCTCGCGCGGCAGCACACCACTGCTCCGCACGAGACACCGTTGCAGGACCAACCCCAAAACGCGACAGCGCACACAAAACAGGGAGGGTGGGTGGGGAAGCAAGACAGGCCGTGTGGGGTGTGGGTGTCACGAGGACAGACGTCCACGAAGACGGTGGACGGACGCAAACTCCTTATCCAATTCACACTCACGGCTGTCCTACTGGTCATATAGAAAGTCGGCCGTCCGCGAGCCCCCAGCTCGCCGACGGCGAGAGAGATGCCACGAGGGGTCGCGGTGGCGTCCATCGCCAGGCTCCCTAGCTCAACCGACGACCCTTCGGGATCGACGGCCGATCGTCATGAGCCTGTCGAGGACTGGGGCTCCACTCGAGGTCATGTTCATAGATTCCAAAGCATTGTTAATAGCAAAGGGGGGAAAAGGTACCCTCGACCCTCACGCCTGCAACCCTCGCGCGGCAGCACACCACTGCTCCGCACGAGACACCGTTGCAGGACCAACCCCCATCGCCATCCATCGTAGAACATGATCTCGAGCCCTGCCCCAGCCCCTCAGCCACTACACCATCATAGTCACTCGCGCGAGCCGCTCGATGCGCGAGGCGAGATCGAGGCCGGCGTAGTGCTGCTGCATCGACCTCTCTCGCTCCTGCTCGTTCCAGCCGAAGATGCAGTCGATGTCTGTGATGGTAGCGCCCGTGACATCGCTCGTGTCCCGCGCCACCTTGTCCGAGAACCGTCGGTTCGAATGGTGGGCAAACTTGACGATCGGGTTGCCCGCCTCGTCCTCCTCAATCGCAAGCTCGAGGTCCTCCTCGTCGCGCTCGCGGAGGAGCTCGTACGCGAGCTTGAGCGCCTTCGTAGAATGGCTATATGACGAGCCAGTCTCTAGCGGAGTATCGGTGAGGGAAGCAAGACAGGCCGTGTGGGGTGTGGGTGTCACGAGGACAGACGTCCACGAAGACGGTGGACGGACGCAAACTCCTTATCCAATTCACACTCACGGCTGTCCTACTGGTCATATAGAAAGTCGGCCGTCCGCGAGCCCCCAGCTCGCCGACGGCGAGAGAGATGCCACGAGGGGTCGCGGTGGCGTCCATCGCCAGGCTCCCTAGCTCAACCGACGACCCTTCGGGATCGACGGCCGATCGTCATAACATAAAATTGATAGGGCGCCTGTTCACGGCATGGAGGGTGAGCCACGATGAACGTAATGAACGTAGAGCCGAACGAGAGGAAGCCGGGGAAGACGACTCCGAGGAGGACGAAACACCAGTGGAAATCCCGCCATCAGCTGTCACGATATACCCGAAGGGAACCCCAGTGCCAACACCGACCGTTGAGGTACAAGTGCTCGAAACGAGAGTGGACCTGAGCAACGACATGACTTGGAGGCAAATGATCGGAGTGGGAGTCAGAAATGTGGTCCTTGCGCGAGGGGAGCTCGATAAACTCGAGGGGCCAAAATACGCGGAGAGGAGAGCGGAGTTACGCAGAAAGGCGAGAGAAAGAAGCAGCGAGAGCAAGGCAGACGGCAGCGGCGTCTCAGAACGAGGCCGAGGAGAGCGATGAGTCAGAGGATGAAACAGCAGGAGAGAGAACGGAGGACGAGAGTGGGAAGAACGAGAGGTGGCATGAAGGTCGCCGACGAGTGCGCGCATTTACATGCTCACGTGGGATGCTGCATCATGCATGCGGACGTGTGATCGCAGTTACACGGACTGCATGCAGGTAACTCCGCGACCGCGTGCACCTCCACCAGGCTCCTCACATCAGAGGGCCCTTGGCGATAGGCTCCTCGCAAGCCCGTGCTCCTCACACAGACAATCTGGCAGTCCTCGGGGTCGCGCATGGACATTCGAGCACGGACAGACAGCGAAGATTCTCCCCCTCCCGCAGGTCCTCCTCCTGGGGCAGTGTCCCCTCCAACCCCGCAACCCCCCCCGGCTCATATCCACAGCCCGGACGTCTCGGGCAGGGGCGGCTGCCCCGAACTCCGCCGGCCGCCGTCCTCGCCCGACTCCTTCGAGCACTCGTCAACCCACTCCTCCTCCAGCACGACGTGCCACCCGTGCGGCCCCTTGCCCGGCCGCTTGCCCGCGCTCCTCGGCGACCCGGGGCTGAGCCCCGGGTAACTTCTTCCTAACTATACTCACCGTCTAACTT